GTGTGTGTGTGTGTGTGTGTGTGAGAAAGGCAAAGAAAGAGCTATCCATGTCTGTCTTGGGGGAGAGGATTTCACTTCTCTTTCTCACCCCCATGTGAAAAGTCGCACAGCATTTAATCACTTCTCACCTCAGTGGCATCTGAATCACCTCTTTCTCAGCTCTTCTCCAACTATATTTTGCCTTTATTCTCCAATTCCTATACAGTTAAGCTAGTCACAGCTTCTTTGCACTGCTCTTCTTCACTGTTTTGCATCATCTTTGCATTTAGTGGCGTTTCCTGTTCTGTACTCTGTTTCTTTAAAGTCTTAACCGAGCTCTCTGTCCCTGCCTGTGTTGTGTTTGTGGAATTACAGTCAACACTTAAACCCTGTCACTAGCCCTGTGGCCCACTTCTGGACATGGAAAACGGTGATAAGGACTCTGTTAAATATAGCTCCTCAACTCTGAGCCACCTGCTGTTGTGCTTCCTATAAATTCTTCTGAAGTCTAACAAAACTTCCCGTACTGGCAAACGTCAAACAGACAGAAACAATAACCACAACAGCGCATCGGTTTGTTGCAAGTTTGCAATATTAGGCCACTTCCTAAACACTTTAGCCTACCATCATGTTTTGTAAGTGAGCGCAGGAGTAAGAGTTTGGAGGTGCATGCTTACCATTATCTTTCCCTGGTTCGGCTATGATGGTGATCCTTGTATTTTCTGTAGTTGTGCTACTGCTCACATTGACTGTGCCATTGGAACTTGTGTTTGTCGCTGGGCTGCTCCCTGAATGATTGGCAGCATCCGGGCCCAAACTAGACACATGGTTCAGAACTGGAGCCCCTGTAGCTTGAACAGTACTAGGAGTAGTTTTTGAAGAAGGGGTAGGAGTATGCCCATCAGCTGAAGAAGTAAGGACAGAAGCAAATGTGTCATCTTATTAATATCCTTAAAGTCACAAATTCTTTGTTCATTATTCCAAATACATATGTAGCAACAGGTAGTGTTCACACCCCAAAACCATTGTAACAACTCAGGGTCAACACAGGCTAATGTTTAAACAACCGAACAATGGATACTGAAATTAAAACATGCACACATACAGCTGTGCAAACATTTTAAGCAACAACAGTAAGGTATTAACAAGTGATAATGGCATGAATACATTTTTGAATAAATGACATTATTATTCATTCATTTATTGAATAAGTGTGCACGTCTTCTCACTTCTTTTCAATATGTAAACTAAATCAAAAAAATGGAGCAATGTTGGAGTGTATTTCGCTTAATTTTTTACAGTATTAATTCTCTTTTTTCGTAAATAACTTTCTTTATATTGTTTACACGATCGAAATATAAACTGAAAAGTTTCCGCATGACCCCAGTTGTTGGCTTTTGGCAGGGAGGTTTTTCAGCTTTCACAACGTCTGCTTACTTGAGATCAGAGATTTGCGGGGGTTGCAACATCCGCTCCAAAACTATTTGTTCATCTCGTTGCAGCAGGTTGCACTTTAAAAATCTTATTGTATGTCTGGGATAAAACCCATCAGATGCCCTCTCGTGTTACTGCTGGAATCCAAAAGTCTAAAGAGCCCCAAACGTTTGCGTAGTGCTTTATATGTAAATGTATCTGTCCTGAGTAAAGCCTCAAAATCATCACAACAATTATCGAACAGCTTCCTTGGATCAAACAAGGTTTTAGTGTCTGGCTAAAGAATTTGGAAAGAGAATCATCCAGGTAAGGAAATCCCAAAAAGTTGATTCTGTTCATCTGGATGTAGCATTTTCAGTCTCAGTGAGAATGAAAAAGTCATTTGGATGAGTGACGAAACGTTTCTCCCACCGAAAACACTACATCCAGACGAACAGAGTCGACTTTTTAGGATATCAAGTTGTATTTGTTTTGCAGGAGCCATAAATTCCCAACCATTTTTCGCATGTGACCTTTTAAAGTAAATCAAAGTAAACCTACTTGTGACCCTTAGAGATGTGATTAGCTTAGCCAGTGTGTGATGTTCCCTTTTGGGAGACATCTTTAGAAGGCTGATATGACAAACCATTAGGGCTGCCACGATTAGTCGACTAGTCACGATTACGTCGACTATCAAAATCGTCGACGACTGATTTAATAGTCGACGCGTCGTTTGAAGCTTTGTAAGATCCCAAAAGACGCAGGAATAAGTAGTAGGATTTAAGAGTGTAATAACGGACTGAAACAGAAGATGGCAGCACTGCATGTACAAGGATGCCAGCTGCCGTTAAACCCCGAAGAAGAAGAAGAAACTGTGTCCCAGAATTCATAGCGCAGCCCAGCTCAGTTTCCAACAATGGCGGCAGCTAGCTAGTTTTAATTTTACTCTTATTATTCTTTCTGGGTTACAAAATAAAAGTTTAACATATTTTCAGGCGAGAATGTAGCTGTGTAAACCTCAAATATCTGCTCAGTTTATCAAGACACCAAATATTTTCAAAAGCGCTCCGACGTTTTCGGAGACGTCTGTTACCCACTAGCTCGATAGCGAGCCGGGGGCAAGGCTAACTAGAGCCGTGAGAACACCGGACTCCCGGCAGATCGTTTTCAAACCCACCGCCGTCTTTCGCTACTCAGGTTAAATATATATAAGTCACTTAGATAACTTAACAATGTTATTGTTTGGCTTTTTTTAGTATTTTATTTGTTCCTGAGTAAATCGGTTTGGCTGAGATTAAAGTTATAGTTTTTACACAGCTGAATAAACGTCAAGCAGACAGCTGATTATCATAAGTGTGAGATGCTCCAGAATTTACTCCAGTGTCCTGTTATATTTTAGATAGCAAGGAGTTTATTAAACTTCACTGAACCAATCTGCAAATTTCATTAAAATTTAATAAACTATCATCTTGTCTTTATTTTTAGTTAGCACAGACCTTAAACACTTAAAGCTGTAAGCTAATGATAGTTATATAAGAGCAGATGCTGCTGGTGCAATAAGCTGTACGTTTGATGATCTGATTAGTCGACTAATCGCAAAAATAATCGGTGACTAGTCGACTATCAAAATAATCGTTTGTGGCAGCCCTAACCATCCATAATAAAAGTATATATCTATTTTTAAAAAGTGTTTTACCAACTCAAGTTTAACCTTGCATCCTTTTATGAACTCTAACCTATAGGTCGTGAATTGCTAACTAAAGTGCACAGTCACAATGCCGCACGGAAAAAAAAAATAGACACAGTTTGACTGCCACTTTCAACTACAAGCCATATAAGTTGTGTGAACTAATGAAGACCTTCAGTCTTTTGCACTCTCTTTTCCCCCTCTGTGCTGACACATTTATCTCTACTGTACAAGGCTCCATTTCAGTTTCTCCCCTCCTTTGATGAAGACCAGAGCACTAATGTAATGTAAAGTCATTACCGTTCCATAACACACTGCCCTGATACCTTTCATTACTGCCATAATCAGTCACACAGCTCATCAGTAAACACAGTGAGAGAGTGAGGCAGTGAGACACAGACAGACCCAGAGAAAGAGAGAGTTGTGTGAACTAAATGATACCAAAACAGACACACTCATAAATAGACAGAGGTGCTTGGCTGTATAATACTGGCCTTGTTCCCTCACTTTAGCTCCATTAGCGAGCTTCCTAGGTCTCGTCTAGTAGGCTATGTCTGTTTTTGTACATGCATTTGTGTGCAGGGTAAAATCATGAAGAGAGTCACTGTTTCCACCATTGCACACGCCCCTTTTTAGATATTACAAGGGCTTACTCACAATCTTTCAGGCCAATGCAGCATGTACCTGGGGAGATAGCTTTTGCCCATTTGTTGACCCTGCCAGCGAGAGAAACAGCCAAAAGTTTCTCTGTGAACAGATGTCTGCTGCTGCAGCACTGCTAGAAAAATATACTGTGATACAGTCTGTCTGAGACACATCATAAGCTCTGTTTTCTCAGCAAGTGGTTCTGGTGACATTTGAGCCAATACTGCTGAAGTGAGCTTTTTATTAAGTGAAACTGAAAGAGCTAAAAACAAACAGCTATGCACATGCTGCACTCAAACTGCCTACCATGTTTTTGGCTGTCGTTCTCATTCAATAGACCACATGTGAGAGTCTAAACTAACTATAGGTGTTCTGTTATTTTTTATGATAGCGAACTTACCTGGTGCATGCATGTTACACACCGCAGGCAAAAACTTCTGTCCTAAACTAATTTGCACCATAAAAAACCCTCCCAGTAAAACTTAATAATTATCCAGCTCAGGGAATTTATTAGAATTAAAAATTAAGCTCAATGAAATGAAACATAGGGATTTCTTGTAAATGGAAGCTATTAAAAACAGCCTTTTTGAAACCAGGCACCGAGAGAGCTTCAACTTATATCACAGTTCTGCTTCATAAGATGCTCTATCTGTAGTTCTTTTCCTGAGTAAATATGACACCATTGAAATGAAACTTAAACCCAGCTCTGTTATACCGTGTGCATATTATTACATAGGTATGCTGGCTGAAGCATGATGTCAGTTACTGAAAATATTCTTACTTCTGATCTAATTTTAAATAGTCTGTCTATGTTACTCTTATGGATTTAAAACTTGTGTTTTCCACAGGAGAAAAGATCTGATTGATTGGTTACAAAAGAAGGCTATATGAGTGCAGCATTGCTCATATTCTTTGCTTCTTTGCTATGAAAACTCACGGGGCTTTTTTTATGGTGAATGCTAATAACCTGCCATCATCCCCTTCATTGTGTTTAATGCATAGAGTAAAAACTGAACCTGTTACCACTGAACCGCTTAAAATCTCTTCATAAAGTCTGCATAGTGTACTGCAGAGGCGAGCCAATTAGTAGGAACCCAGTAAAATGACAGTGTGCTGCTGCACATAATTAGAGGTGTCATTTATCACAATGTACTTTTCCTGCTAATTTACAGCCAATAAATGTTCTCCAGTGGAGCCGTGCTGTTTCCTATTCATTTGAATTTCAGCTCGAGGAGCTGAAGGGACAGTTCAGCCCAATAAAATCTTTTCAAATGTCAACAGTCTCATTGTCCTTTTATGTGAGAGGTGGTGATGGAAGAAAGAAAAGAGAAGGCCGGAGGAAGAGAGAAAAGGTAGGAGGGGGCAAAAAAACAGAAGGTGGGTTAAGAGTGAAAGACAGGATGTGTGAGAGGTGAGTTAATGTAATGCAAGCAGAAAGAGGAAGAAGGGGAGAGGGAGCAAGGGAGGAAGTGATGTGCGAGATAAAATGTGGCTTGATTGAACAAAAAGTAGAGGCGAAGATGTGGAGTAGAATTTTTAAAATAAATCTGCTCAGTGTAAAAGCGAGTTCTTTGTTGCGTAAAATGAAAACAAAACAACAACACTGACTTCATCCTTTAAACCCAGATGAGTTTTGTCATTTTAAAGCCGGACAGACATGACTAATAATGCCACTAATCCCCACTCTAACAACATCCCAAGTGTCAGCAGGTGAGTTTGGCGTGAAAGACTATGTTTACTTTTTAGGCGCTGTAAGCATAAATTTCGGGCACGTAGTATACAGAAATAAACTGCCTCCTACCGTGTACAGCGGATCCCAAGTAAATCGCTAGAAGCGCGCAAAGGGCAATCCAGAGTTTGGTCTCCATCATCTGTGTCCTGTGGCGACGCAGTAATAAAATCACTACACAAGCGTGGTTTCCTCTCCTCTTCTTCGCCCAGGACTCGCTTTTGTCCACAGTCGGACTGCAGACTTTCACAAAACAGTTTAAAAACCCGAGGCCGCTTTAGTGTCCTAACCGCGGCGGAGAAACAGTAGCTCTAACAGTGTGTGCGTGGCTGGAGGGACAAAGTTGAGGGAGGAGTGTGTGGTGTGCTCTCTCTCTCTCTCTCTCTCTCTCCAGAACCAGTGCCACGTGTTCTTGGTTCAAAATAGTCAGCGAGTCTGTGACGCACAGGCGCACAAGGCAACGACGACGCAAACACGAGCCACACAAATCACAAATGTATTAAAGATCTGTTACATTGCTATTTATAGTTAATATTTAAGCTCCATATTACTCACTTCAACGAACTTTAACGTTGTTTTTCTTCTGTCCTGTTTTTTCCTCTCCATTCATACCTAATTTAAAAATAACGTTAACAAATAAATTACTTCCTCAAATGCCTGTGATGCATTAGTAATATTGCACTGGCTATATAATATGTATTACTCCAGTTTTTTCTCTCTTTTTTAAATAATGGGTTTTCGTAATGTTTGACTTATTGACGCCTTTAAATCTGCAACAAATCAATGTTTAAACTGGGACTATGTTAAATCATTGTCTCACTAAGGATTCAGCTATGCAACATTTTAAAAAAGCTTCACTCGTTCTTTTGGGTTTATAACTTTATGCTAAAGCGGAATTAAAAATTAAGAACGTTCTCGCTTCTCGTGATTTTTAAGGCATGATGGAAGTTTTTCTCTCGTCCACATGGGGGCGCTGTTGCTTTAAAGTTGATTCTTATAACAGGCCAAACTGTAAACTGCAACACACTGCTCTAGTTAGACTGATAAACTGAAAGCCATTTGTCTCACACATTTCATGTAGATATAGAATTATACTAAGATATTAAACTGTTTTGGGGGTGGAATGAAGAATAGTAAACATATACACAGAGGGTTGTTAGGGCTGGGTTAGGGCTCTCAACTCTACTGCTGATTCACTGGTTTAAATAAGATTAGACTTGTGAGTCATTGATGTCCTACAACTCCTGATTCAATTTTAACTGCAATTTTCTTCAGTTGAATTGGATGGCTTTGTTTTTATTACTGTTTGCACACTATATATATATATGTTTTAAATAGTTGTCTGTTGACAGTGATGTGTGGTTATCATTTTGTCCAGGAGAAATTTATACGATATGCACTTTAAAAAGGATATATTGGTCTATTATATATTTTATTTGCATATAAAATAATAAACCTAATATGATAGCTGGGATAGGCTCCAACCAGCTGCAGCCCTGGAATGGATAAAGGAAGAAAATGAATAGATGGGTGAATGAATGGATTTGCAAGCCAAGTTCAGTAAAAGAAATAAAGCCATTGTTTAAAAAGCACAACTTGCTTGAAAACCTAAAGATTAAGATGTATTTGAAAACACAGGGTGGCATGGTGATGCTGAAGATTGTCTATTGAAATACAGTCCTGGGCCTTTCTGTATGGAGTTTGTATGTTCTATCTGATACCCCAACTTCCCTGCAAAGAAGTGCATGCAGTTAGGTTAATTGGTGATTCTGAATTGCCTGGTGTGAGTGTAAATGTTTGGCTCTGCGACAGTATCGGTATATTTAAATTAAGGTAACTGTGGGCTGTTATTATTATTATTATTATTATTATTATTATTATTGTTAGTAGTAGTAGTAGTAGTAGTAGTATTGGTAGTATGTGTAGTATGTGTACATTGATGTGTATTCCATCACTCGCAATCTATTTAGGGAGGAAACTGTCGCATTTAATGTTAATGGCTTCAAAAGGGCAACTCTGGACGATTTACATAATTTAACATTGTGATGACGCAAACAGTTTAGTAAGACTGATAATATATAACTAACTAATAGATTATAATAGCAAAATTCACTCTTTGCAGTAACGTATACATATCCTGTGCATTTAGTATTATGGGAATTTTACAAAATCGCTGTTTCATTTGCCTTGTTCATTGGTTACGCTGCGATTACGATATTTCCAACAACACGTGAACGTAGCAAAGGCTACTGGTGACGGAGCAGAGGCAGAAGAGCGGCGGGGAGCTGCCAGCATCGTCTCAGACCGTCGCAGGACAGAAAGGTGTGAAAATACTGGTCCACCAGATAGACTGGCGATAACACACTGAGATGAGATTGTTATGATAAAACTGTCACTCTGAAAATACCAGCGTCGCCGTCTCGCTTGGTTGAATTTGACACTAGGGTTGCGTCAAGTTACATTGCTACGTTAGCTAGTTTCGTGCTAGCACAGTGACGCTAGCAATCGCTGTAGTATTCTTACATAGTGGAGGTTAGCGACAGCTAGAAGAGCTAATGTTAGCTTGCCGGTTAGCCCCTCATGTCATCCTTATGACTACAATTAATCATATCGTAAAGCTAACCTAAACATGCTCATTGCTGTTGCGGAATTATTATGGAAATTACACACTTTGCGGGGGAAAGTCTAACGAAAGCTGCTGCTGAATGTGTTGCTCCTCTTTGATCATTTGACAGCTCCGTATCAGCGGAGATATGGAGACACCGGGGAGAATAGCAGCCACACCGGACGCCCTGGACTTTACGGTGGAAAACGTGGAGACGGTAAGTTTTTGCATCAGTCAGCTCAAGAGGAAAAGCAGGGGCTGTGTTAAAGATAATACGGGCGAATTAAGGGGGAAAGCAGGACGCTTAAGTGCGCCTTGTAGCCCGCTGTAATTACTTTGGTTAAGACTTTTTCTTACAATGCTGGTTTATTTAGGGGACGTGATGTTGCTGTGTTTACGAGCTGACCTCACCTAATTTAGCCTCGACTAAATGCTATGTTTAGAAAGAATACTGAAGTGGTAACAGGTTGTACCATGCACATTCTCCTAAGTGCGCTTCAAGGTTTTGTTTATCTTTGTCAGATTGGTTATATTCAGCTGGTGTGTGTGTGTGTATGTGTGTGTACGTGTATATGTGTGTGTACGTGCGTGTGCATGGCAGTGTTTGCAGCCAGGTCGCTGTGATAAATCTCCCTCCTTGGTGGCCGCTAACAGGGGCACAAGGGGATGGGTGGGGAGGCGGTGGAGAGTGTGTGTGAGAGAGAGAAAGGTTCTCCTGTGGTGGATGAGAGCTGATGTGATAAAACTGATAGAGGGATGAGGTGAAGGAGGGAGGGGTCCATGTCGATAACAGTGCCAGTAAAGAAAGAGGAGGGGGTGAGAGGAGGTTGGGGATGCGACAGAAATGATTAGAGGCAGGTTTAAAGGAGAGAGGCAGATTCCTGTGGGGAAAAATGCCTGGATAGATAGGTAGTGTGGTGTAATAAAAGCACAAAGAAGAATAACAAACACTGAGCACGGTCCTGTTCTGCCTTGGGATAATCTATTTTCACTTATTCATGTTTCATTTCTGCAAGTGGAGAGTGTATTGTTTTATTGACACACCAGAGGAAAAGGATACTCCATTCCATGGAATTACATTTTCTAAATTTAAAGTTAACACTAACATATATTACATGCACTCCTTAAAATGTGTAATTAATATAACTTGAAGCATGGAGGTAAATTTTTAGATAAAGTAAACTAAGTCCAAACTCATATGCTTAGATATTATCATAACATTGTTCTGTTTTTATTTTGGGTTCGCAATATTGAAGTGAAACCTTGCTTACCAAAAACCCTTCACACATGCAAAAACAATGCCTGATATTTAAAAAAAAAGAAAATGGTGTGAGCCACATGCGCTACATTCAGCTTTCACTGACTCATTTTACTGTCTGAATCAGGTAGTCGTGTCAGGGTACTAATCATTCAGTAAATAATAGTTTTTAAAAAGTGTTTAAGAGCATATCTGTAATGTCTTTGCAAATAACAAAATGTCATGTGTGGGTAGTGTTTAAGAATTTAAGGTCGTTATTCAGATTGTGTGACAGCTTGCACCAGCATTCAGTCTGTTCCAAGCCGTACAGCACTATCTGTAATCTCATGAACTAATATAGCATGCATACAGCACATAGCATCTGAAGTATAATTTCCCATAAAAGATATCAGCAGTTTAGTATTTATAGTGCAGTGGCATTTCAAAACTAATGAGATATTGTTAGTCTAAGGCTTGACTATATTTAGAAAGTAATACCGGTAGCTGAGATTTTTTTTTTTTCTATTTTCTTATCCTTTCTTGTGAGTTTGGTGATAACACTTTGGTTATGGGATCAGTAGGATGCTAAGAGAATGGAAAGTGTCTTTAAATTTCTTTTCCTGCTTACCTAAAAACATCCTTAGCATGTAAATCTGATCTTTAACTTATTGTCTAATATGTTAGTGTCAGCAGTAAATTACCTACTGTACAGTAGCATATGGCTTATGAATAAAAAGATAAATTGTAATTTTATTGGAGCAGTTGAAAAAAGGAGATTGTAGATGCAGAATTTTCCCTTTGCTGCAGTGGGTGTTGGGTAGTGTGTGCTTATATTATAGATGGTGGTGGAGATGATGGTTCCTGGCCCAGTGTTTCTATGTGTTCCATAGAGTGCTCTTTGTTCAGTCTCAGCTCTGTGAAACAAAGTGTCACACTGTCAGGATCTTTGTGTGCATAATAAAAGGGGTTTGAACACTGGCGTACATTTCCGCCCAACTATAATTATCTTTGGAGTCACTATGTGCCAAGAAAGGGAATTTTTAAGAGGAAATTCAGAGCGCCACAGTATGTTTTTAGGATTTTGCCATTTTTTAGCTCTCCCCTGAGACAAAATACTGCTGTACCACAGGAAAGAAGCCCAACACTGCACTGGATCGGCCCAATTCTTGCTCAAGGGAACTTTAACAGGGTGACTTTCTGTTACCGTAACTAACTGTAATCACCCCACACAGGATGCTGTGCACAGGAGACTGTCAAGGTCCATTTAGTATGGTTTAGCTCCCTGCCTCTCAGCTGGTAAAGCACCTCTGTCATTCAGTAACTGTAGGTAATTTCAGGGTGAGATCTATGTAGCAGCAGGTGCAGTTTTAAGAAGTTTTATCACATTTAAAGGCTGAGGAGACTATTCACCCAACCAGCTAACATATTATAAAACATAGCAGCACCCTAAAATCTGTCACTGAGAAATTACACATGATGTATTAAATAGTTTTTCAGTAGTGAGAGTGTAAGAGTTTGATAT